GCACGTGATGTGTAAGCGACCCACATCCTGATGCTAGAATCGCATCGCTGAGTACCTCCCCATCATCACAACCATAGGCGTCTGCAGAGACAATTACATCTGCTTTTGGGTCATAATGGTGAACTGGAGATGAGTCCAATTTGGATAACAGACTTCTTTGGATTTCTGCGTCATATGCAGAAGTCGAGCTGTGTACAAATATAAGTGACTTGTACTGATCGGCTGAAATTTGTTTGGGCTTGAAACGTTCGCACGAATGGTTCACTCGACCTGGTATTGATTTTTAACCAGCTTCTAACACAGATAACGGTCTTTTAAAATTTGATAACCTCTCACCAAATATGGAAGTAGGTACATCTACAGTCTCCTGGAAATTGCAGTTGCGGCAATGTTTCATTTGAATGAAATAACAGTACTGGTTGTGCACTTATGCACCCAGCTTTCCTAAAGTATGCCTTGAACAATGAACAATGAATTTATACGGGTTAAGAAGCGTGGCTTTACAAGTCCCGTTGGATAGTTGCAAGGGATATCGACATAACAATAATGATATTAAGGATAGTAAAATAGTTAATACTTAAAATATGAAAATAAGGACTTATCGTTTGTTTCGTTGTAGTCCTGCGATCCTCTTAGATGCACAGCACCCACAGTTAACAACAAATAATTCCATGGTAAACTCCAGGTGTAGGATGGAGACGTAGTGTTAAGTAACAAAGTGTAAGTGGATGAGTGCGTCGTCCAACCGTCTTTGAAATACTGTTAGTGTTGGTGCAGAGACGACCGATTCTGGGAGAGCACTCCACGGGTGACAGACACGAATGAAAACGAAATTTCTGCGGCACTCCAGACGACTGTATTGTTCTGCGAGTTTTAATGAGTGGCCCCTCAGGTTTGTATTGCTGCTGAGTTGCAGTAAAGGGCGGCACACATGATGTGGGTCTCGCAGAAACAAGTATGCCATAATCAGGTCGCCACGTGGTCTGCGATAGCTTCCGCTGATCAATCCCTGTTGTTGCAGCCTCTCCTGGTAGGAAAGATTGGGCATTATAATTACGTTCTTAGATGCCCGGCGTTGTAACTGCTTCAGTGCATTAAGGTCGTGTTTCAGCCATGGATGCCAGGCTTGGATCGCATATTTGACATTGGGGCGAACATATGCACTGAGCATTTGTCGAAATATGGAGCTGGTTATTTGTCCAAACGCCACCCTCAACAGCCCGACGTGTTGGTTCCCGGTCTTCGAGGCCTTTTCGGATTGCCTGGAGCAACCCAAGTCATCTTGAACCAGGACACCCAAGTCATGTTCGAGAGTTGATTGTTGCAGTACATCCGTTCCGAGTCGGTATGAGTAGCTGACTTGATGTCGGATGGAAAGCACCTTGCATTTACTGACGTTGAAATGCAATAGGTTTTGGGTCGACCTTTGATACACTGTATCTGTCACTCTGAAGCACATGTTGGTCGGTGTTCGCATGAATCCTGCGCCAGATCTTGATATCATCGGCAAACATTAGGAAGTTTGAAGCGATTCCCTGTGCAAGGTCATTAATAAACACCAGAAACAAACGTGGACCTAGAACCGAGCCTTGCGGCACACCACACTCCACTTGTATGGGGTCCGATAAAGAGCTCCGAACTCTGACCACTAATTGCCTTTGAAGTAGAAAGTTGGCGATCCAGCTTAGAAGAGGGTCGCCGATCCCGTAATGCTGCAGCTTGGATAGCAGTATCCGATGGTCTAGACGATCGAAAGCCTTGGTAAAATCCAGGTAGATCACATCAACACCTTCTCCAGCGTCGGCTGCCTCGGTCCAACTACTGCGTGCAATTAGTAACTTAGTTGTACATGACCGCTGTCGACGGAAACCGTGCTGTTCAGGAGTGATGAGGTTGCAGTTTTCCAGATAGCACACCAGTGCATCGGCTACTATGGACTCCATGACCTTGGAGAGTATAGGAAGAAGGGTTACTGGGCAGTAGTTGGACGGATTAGTTCTGCTTCCACCTTTGTGAATCGGGCTTATTATTCCAAGCTTCCACATGGCGGGAACTTGGTTCTGGTCTAATCAGCGCTGGAAAGACTGAGCTGAAGGTCCTGCCAGTTGGCTTGCTGCTACTCCTAATGCCTCTGGACGAATGGTGTCGACGCCCGGAGAGCTGTGTTTGCGTAGAGAAGTCAGATTTTGCAGTACAGCCTCTGTGGTAAAATTGATGTGGGTTAGTCCTGGTGAGCAGAATACAAAGTTTGGTAGATCGCTTGGTGGCAAGACTCTTTGAAACGTGGGGGCGTATTGCATCTGCAGCGCGTTTGCAGCTTCCATAGCCGTTCTTGTTGGGCCATCAGCCGTCTTGAGTAATGGAAATCCGTGTCTCACCTTTCGTAGGCTATTAACGTGCTTGTACAGCATTTTGTAGTTAGAACTGAAGGTTTTTTCTATGTTCTGCTGATAGGCGGCTTTGTCTTCTCTTAACAGTTGAGTGCAGTGGTTACGTTGGGCTACGTAGTTGTCCCAAGTTTCTGGTGCTGGAGCTTCTCTGTACACTCGCCATGCTGCGTTGCGTACTGTCATCCATTTTCGAGTTCTGCTCCTAACGAAAGAAACTGATTTACACTTATTGCAAGCTTTTATCTCTGAAGCCTGTGCAATCAGCTGACTGAATGTTTTGACGAACTCGAGCCAGGCGACTTCCAGGGGTTCTACTTCGAGGAAAGACCATGTTGCGGTGCTGACTAGCTGGGTGAGTCGGTCGTACCTTGTGATGGTTCGCACAGTATCTTCGTTATCATTCCGATATTCTGCATAACAGACGAAGTTGAAACTGATGACTGCGTGATCACTGCGACCCAACGGGTGGTCTAAAACCAACGCATCAATCATATGCTCCTCGTTTGTAAGCACAAGATCCAGCACAGATGGCCTGTTACCAGTTCTGAACCGAGTGGGCAAAGTGATGTGGTTGTAAAGAGGAACAGTCGTTACTATATCTTGTAGATCGGTTTTGAATTGTTCTCCGATCGTGGCAGGGGCTTCTAAGCAATGTACGTTGAAATCACCCATGATAAGAATGTGAGTGTACTTTTGTTGTAAACTGCACCTTAAGGCAGCCGCTAGGTAGTAGTCGGTTTCGGGTGTTGAGTTAGGGGCGGGGTACACCAAGACAATAAGGCAAGCGTCCCTGCCTTTTAACTGCAACCGGCACCAAAGAGAGTCGGGGAACTGCGAATCGGAATCCTCCACGGCTTCGCACTGTGAGTCGTTTCGGTAGTACAGGATTACCCCTCCTCCTTTTGTGAGCCTGTCGTTCCGGATCAGCGACATTCCCGGTAGCAAAACTTCAGCGTCCGCCATTCCCATGTGCAACCATGTCTCGGTGATACCAATGACATCATACGAGCCGGAAGCTTGGCGATCTTTCAGTTCAGCCAGTTTGTTAGAAAGACCCTGAGCATTTGTATACAAGCAAACCGGTTTCTCGGTCTCTAGGAGACTGCAGAGAGGTGAAGCTGTCAAATGTGGGAGAATGCCGACCGATGGAAGGTCGACAGTTACTCGACTTTTTTGATGGGTCAATGATGTCCCGTTTGCAACTTGATTCGGCCAAGGTGTGTCCCAACCTTCGTTTAGACCTACGTCAGAGTCAATTAAAGCAGCAGTCAAGTTACGCTTTTGCACATTCGTCGGTATGCTTGCTGCTTCAGTTGGTTTAATATTTGAGCTGTGCAAAGTGTTTGCGACCTTTAACCGAATTTCGGAAAGAAGATGTTTCCGATTTCTCCGCCATCGATCCAAAACATCCTTTGCTTGTTGCTCTGGCTGAACCACACGTTTTAGGATTCTAGGGCTGCAACCTCTATAATTCGGTGAGAGAGGTATCCTGGTGAGCGATAGTGCCACAACATTCTCCAAAGAAAGTGTTTCACGAACGGACCGCCACTGTTCTAAATGGTGCTTTCCGGTCTCTTGAACATCGTTAGAAGGATGCTCTGGCACGCCATGTATAAAGATTGTATTTAGGTGGTCTTGCTTGCTGTGCCTCTCTTCGGTGTTTCGTCTTGGTTGTCGCGCGCTCCAAGGGACATCAGGATAGATACGTATCCCACAGGATTCGTGTTTTAGCGCGCTTGCGGAGAGCAGAACGTTTTCTATGTCGGTGGAGGATTCTAGAGTTAGTCGAATAAGTCTGGGTTCACCATAGTGTGGCGAGTTCGGATGACGAGTAATTCGTAATAAGTTTATGGGCTTGATGCACTCAAGAATAAAAGGTTTATTTGTTTATTTAACAAAAACGGGAATTTGGCCGTAGCGTCAAGCGTGATTCCGTAAGTCAGGAAGATGTCTTCATACCGCATGTTGCATATTACAAAAGTTATATCGTTCTCTATACATGAAGAAATCGTTTATTCTTGATAGTGCGAGACATGGCTTCAAAGGCATGATCATGGTAATACAAACACATATCATTAGTAATGATATAGACAGGTTACAATTTAACTAGTACATACTGGATAAATAGGTGAATATACTTGTAGTACGTATGTGGGTACTTGTCTAAGTCATCGTGTTGGGTGGATTTGTTATTATTCCTGTGAAATTATAGTCTGCGCTGTGATTTCGCTAATATAGGGAGGGATCAGATGAAATCTTTGAAGTGGTTGATGTTCGCGAAATGGCTAAGCTCCTCCGATATGGCAAGACAGTGACTTTAATCCGTGGCTAATCATATCCGTCAAGTCACGTTGTTGTTAAGCAGACATATGGGAATGTTCATAGGTAGAACGCTTGCCAGATGAAAGCCCACCACTTCCTGGAACACTGCTGCTGAACTATTAACTGTACCGGGATTAAACCGAACCACCCAGCTGGTACCCCCTGGAGATTGTTTGACCAGCCAGCCTTTGTTCCCCAGATGGAAATCTTGCATTCTGTTTGCTAACATAACGGAAGAAATGGACTCGGTTTACACTGTGGTGGGTAATAAGTTTATGGATAACTTACTCTGTGCTTGCGTGGAATAACAATGTCCGTCTGTGTTCTTGTCGAAGCACAGCCCGCTGTTGCTGCTGGATTTGATCTCGTTGTCGTAATAATCGCGCCCCCAGTGTCATACTTGCGGACATAGAGCCATACTAAGGACACCCGCATCGGACAGTATATTGGCCAATCTTCAAGTCACATGAAACAGGGGACAGCGGACAACATAGGGTAAGCTGACAGGGTGTCAGAGAGACCGCCTGCATATTCGACAGCCTCTTGCACATAAAGCACAGTAGACAACTGGGTGAGTGGAGTTCATGGTCAGGGGACGACGTTGTACTTTAAAGGCACCGGATCGCCAGACGTAACTGAGTGGACAAACAAATAGTACAAGTGGATTCACCATAGCTAGACTTAGTCAGACTACCAACACACTCCTGGAGCAGCAAAGCACTACCGTTTCATCATTTCGGGAATCGTCAACCGTGCGCATTCCTTCTGACACCTGTAGGGCTCTAAAAAATCCAACTCTACCGCTGTCAATCTGTGGCTGAGACCCGCGGCAAACGGCAAACGGGAACGACTATACCTTTAACCAATCAAGCCAATCCATAACGGAATCAAGCTCCTCCTTAAGAATATTCAACCCAATTCATAACCACATCAAGTTGAATCCAGTGGCGCACACGCACAAATGCGTGCCCATCGTCTTGAACAATTGCAAATCAGTACAAGAATACTCAGAACATCTGCATCGGTTGGTGCAGCGGTTAGACTGCGCTCAGCCAACAAACCACGTGATGCACACGCGGACGTGAAAACAACACGTGAGCTCATTCACTGTAGGATAGGTGCGGACTAGCACGCGGCATCTGTGGACGGTTGAGGAAGTACTGTAGCTTCCACCCACTCACTTACGTGGCAGCAAGACACACAACACAGAAGTTGGCGGCCATCCGCGTTCATAGTGCTCACTGTTACGCGCAGACGACCGGGCATGAAATGTACTCTACAATTAGACAGTATCGATTGCCTTCACTGAAACCAGATGCATGCAAGCTCACGTGGTGTGACCTAGACTTAGCGGTATCTACGTGTGATCGGGTGTGGTTAATAGTGGCTAGGTGAAATAGTTAATGCGTGCGGTGCTTCACTACGGGCTATCATGGAACAATGCGTTAGTTATCGGTGGGTGTGGCCGAATAACCTGTTAACTGCAGTTGATCGACCTTAATGATGAGGTTAGCATCAGCATCTGCACAGCAATGCATGATGCACTGCACCGAGCTTTGCGGAAGAATACCGCGTTAATTGTGATAAGGTTACCGGGTTGGCAAAAGTTCGCATTTACTGGTCTATATGCAATCGTTAGTATAATGTAGCCGTTGACAGGGTGAAGGAATACGTTTGTAAAGAACCGTCATGATTTCGTGTGAAACGAAGATGAAACGATGATCCATGTTAACGTTAGCGCACTCCTCACCAAGATGCCGAAATGCGACGCACTGGGTATGGTGAAACGCTGTTTGACTGAAGAGATTAACCTAGGGAGGGACCGAAAATTAAGTTGGTTGAAACAACCGAGAGTAAGACATTGCACGGTATGTTGTTCTAGCTCGGGTTTCAGTCGGAAGTAGGCACTCAAGAACATGGTGTTATCATTAGATCGCCAATATCCACTATGTTGTACATAGTACTGGCAAGCTCAAGTAAATGGCCAAAAGTTGTTGGTATCAAGTGGATGGCACATTTTAAACACAAAAGTGGATAAGAAAAGCTAATTTGTGAGGAATCTGAAATCGTCCACCATGGCATAGCACATCACCATTCCTTAACTGCTCTGTTTACAAGAATGATTAGCTTCCAAACCGATATTTCGTCAACCGATGGACACAGATGGGACACAGCACTACAATTCCGATCTCTGTGTTTCACAGATAAGGCCATGTGCACAGAGAAGGAAGTAGACAGTAAGGTAATTCCTGACTAGTGGACACCTGAAACCGGTAGTGGAATACACTTTTCACAATATGCTAAAACCACATTGAAAATATACAGCGGAATGGATTGGGACGATAAGAATATTATAGGTAGAAGGAACTTTCTTTTCCTTTCCGACGGCACTAACCAAGTAATAAAACTCGGGAACTGTTCAACAATGGTGTATCTGAAAGACACACTTTTCGTCGATAAGATGACTAACGGTGTTCACAAATGTATTCATAATAACTGTGAATATGTATGTATATGAGATACCGCGAGCGAACTGCACACAACGCTGCTGGAACACCTGACGCGCATGTCTCGGCGAGGTTTACGTATATTGCTTTACTGTGAGATTCAATGGTGGCGACGCACTGTTAGGTACGGTGCATGTAAGGTGGCCAGATTATTGATGAGCCAAACCGAGAAGCTTCCAGATTTCTTGCACAGCAAACCGAGATACTTAACCTACCCCGTTTGTTTCTGCAAATGCTGAAAAGATAAATATCTACATTTCTTGCTTCAATGAAATAATAAAAAGTACTTGCGTTATTAGTCAGTACAATGGCTACGCTACTGAAGTTTTAAATAAATAAATAAATGCTAAATTCCCGGTAGAGCAATATACGTAAACCTCGCCGAGACATGCGCGTCAGGTGTTCCAGCAGCGTTGTGTGCAGTTCGCTCGCGGTATCTCATATACATACATATTCACAGTTATTATGAATACATTTGTGAACACCGTTAGTCATCTTATCGACGAAAAGTGTGTCTTTCAGATACACCATTGTTGAACAGTTCCCGAGTTTTATTACTTGGTTAGTGCCGTCGGAAAGGAAAAGAAAGTTCCTTCTACCTATAATATTCTTATCGTCCCAATCCATTCCGCTGTATATTTTCAATGTGGTTTTAGCATATTGTGAAAAGTGTATTCCACTACCGGTTGCCGGTGTCCACTAGTCAGGAATTACCTTATTGTCTACTTCCTTCTCTGTGCACATGGCCTTATCTGTGAAACACAGAGATCGGAATTGTAGTGCTGTGTCCCATCTGTGTCCATCGGTTGACGAAATATCGGTTTGGAAGCTAATCATTCTTGTAAACAGAGCAGTTAAGGAATGGTGATGTGCTATGCCATGGTGGACGATTTCAGATTCCTCACAAATTAGCTTTTCTTATCCACTTTTGTGTTTAAAATGTGCCATCCACTTGATACCAACAACTTTTGGCCATTTACTTGAGCTTGCCAGTACTATGTACAACATAGTGGATATTGGCGATCTAATGATAACACCATGTTCTTGAGTGCCTACTTCCGACTGAAACCCGAGCTAGAACAACATACCGTGCAATGTCTTACTCTCGGTTGTTTCAACCAACTTAATTTTCGGTCCCTCCCTAGGTTAATCTCTTCAGTCAAACAGCGTTTCACCATACCCAGTGCGTCGCATTTCGGCATCTTGGTGAGGAGTGCGCTAACGTTAACATGGATCATCGTTTCATCTTCGTTTCACACGAAATCATGACGGTTCTTTACAAACGTATTCCTTCACCCTGTCAACGGCTACATTATACTAACGATTGCATATAGACCAGTAAATGCGAACTTTTGCCAACCCGGTAACCTTATCACAATTAACGCGGTATTCTTCCGCAAAGCTCGGTGCAGTGCATCATGCATTGCTGTGCAGATGCTGATGCTAACCTCATCATTAAGGCCGATCAACTGCAGTTAACAGGTTATTCGGCCACACCCACCGATAACTAACGCATTGTTCCATGATAGCGCGTAGTGAAGCACCGCACGCATTAACTATTTCACCTAGCCACTATTAACCACACCCGATCACACGTAGACACCGCTAAGTCTGGGTCACACCACGTGAGCTTGCATGCATCTGGTTTCAGTGAAGGCAATCGATACTGTCTAATTGTAGAGTACATTTCATGCCCGGTCGTCTGCGCGTAACAGTGAGCACTATGAACGCGGATGGCCGCCAACTTCTGTGTTGTGTGTCTTGCTGCCACGTAAGTGAGTGGGTGGAAGCTACAGTACTTCCTCAACCGTCCACAGATGCCGCGTGCTAGTCCGCACCTATCCTACAGTGAATGAGCTCACGTGTTGTTTTCACGTCCGCGTGTGCATCACGTGGTTTGTTGGCTGAGCGCAGTCTAACCGCTGCACCAACCGATGCAGATGTTCTGAGTATTCTTGTACTGATTTGCAATTGTTCAAGACGATGGGCACGCATTTGTGCGTGTGCGCCACTGGATTCAACTTGATGTGGTTATGAATTGGGTTGAATATTCTTAAGGAGGAGCTTGATTCCGTTATGGATTTTCTTGGGTATTGAAATGTATAAATGTGGTATCGTGCCGCTTACTATCCGCTGCCTTGCAATTCTTTGCCATGCAGAGGACAGGATATCTCCCTTACCGAACGACGAACTTGACAAACTCGGACTTCTAATTTACTTTGGCTGTAGAAGTGATTCCGTCTGCCATTGACTTCAAATTAGTCGTAGGGTGAGTTGGATGGCATAGGTAGAAGTTCATCACTTCAAGTTTGGAAGCACCTTATAGTACTGTTCTGGGCGTTTGGTGGCTGTCCTACTGGGTCTTAATGTGACCAACCTACTTATGCAATACAACTTCGTCTACTGCTCCACTTCCGACAATTAGTTAGGTTTATTTCACACATTAGCAGTTGTGGCGTAGACAACCGTATTCGAAACGCACGAAGTCACGAATGCTTCATCGATTACTTCTAAGCATGTAATCTGAGACCTTTTTTGTTCATTGTTAAACTGCGTACCTTAGTCCAATGACTAATCGGCAGACGTGTGAGCATAACTTATACCGAGCGATGAAAAAGCAATGAAGTCAACCGGCACACAACACTTCCAGATTTCCAGTCGCAGTACCGTTATACCCACTGTGAGTGCAACTAAGCGCGAAACCGGCCGTGATGTGATGGTTTTGGGAGCGAGCGACGCTAACAAAGAATTTTGGTGAATTTTATCCTGTATTTGTCAGCACCGATCGGCTTATAAACACAGAGTTCGATCCATCGAAACTCGGCAAAGTGCATCCGGCCGGTCTTCAAATTATCGGGTTCAACATCGACAGGCGTGTTTAAAAAAGCGAGTTCCCGTCAACATTTTTAACTTCACGGTAAGAAGACAAAAGCTGGCAGACACATCAA